AAATTTGCATATTTTGGCCCTCTAGTGTTTCTTTATGTCCAAAAAAATATAATTCTTCTGCCATAAAGTCTCAAAACAAATTAATGAGTCAAGTGCCAACGGCCCCTTGTGCCCATCCATGGCACACAAACTTCATTCAAAACTGCTTTAGAACTTTTCAGAAGCAATGAAACATAAAAAGCTGTAAACTTTTAATCAAAACTGCTTCTCCTCCATGGCTTCACTGCAATAATTTGTGTATAAGGTGTTGGAAAGAGGGAAGGGAACAGAGCTGAGGAAGTGTCTGGAGCACCAGGAGCAGCTGAGGGAGCTGGGAAGGGGCTCAGCCTGGAGAAAAGGAGGCTCAGGGGGAATTTGTGGCTCTGCACAATTCCCTGACAGGAGGGGACAGCCAGAGGGGGACTGGGCTCCCAAATCAGAAGCAACAGGAGAAGAGGAAATGGCCTCAAATTGCAGCAGAGGAGGTTTAGATTGGATATTTGGCACAATTTGTTCACTGAAAGGGCGGCACTGAAACGGGCTGACAAAGTGGGGGAATCCCCATCCCTGGAAGTGTTGAAAAACTGTAGATGGTTTAGTGGAGGGCTTGGCAGTGTGTGCTGAATGGTTGAACTTGATGATCTTAGATTAGTTATTTGATTTACTGATTTTTTTAACTCCAGCTGAGGGGCCTGGCACAGCCTCCCTCACTGCAGCCAACAGAGCCAGTCCAGGAGCTGTGTGAAACACTGGGAATGAGGGAAAGGACTGCACTCCCAGGTGAAATGCCTGCTCAAAAACAAAGGAAATAAACTCATCTCGTTTGAAATTCTTTGAATGGACTGCAATTTAATCACTTCACTTTTTCTCTTCAGTGATGCCACATTTGTGAGGCCAAATCACTGAAAATCAAGACATTTTATGGTGGTATCAGGTGTAACCAAGGTGCCATTTTTGGTCAGATCTCAAGGTACGTTTGTTTAAATCAATGGAAGTTACAGAAAAAAAGTTACAGAAAAAAACTCCCATTTTTTTCTTTTTCCAAACTTCAGACAGAACTCAAAGGGACAGAAACCTCCCAGAACAGAATCCCAGAATTCCAAAATATCTCAGCTTGGAAGGGATCCAAAAGGATCATCGAGTCCAACCCTTGCCAGCTCTGTTGGGAAACTCTTCTTTGGAACAGCCTCTCACATCCTGAGTGTTTTTAAGATGCTGATTTTGATCTTTAAACCCAGTTTTAGTTGTACAGAGGTTTTGAAGCTACACAGACTGCACTGATCAGATATTGTAGGAACTGGACTGAGGGGTACAGCATAAAGCTACCAGAACCAGTAGAATTTTCCTCTTTATTTTCAGTTCATGCAGGTTTGTTAGGACACGTGGTTCCATTTCCTGTGACTCTATCAAATGTAGCCTTAAGCAATATTTCTGCCATTTTCTCTCATTCCAGTAACTGCTATTAATGCTTTCCCTGTACCCAAACCAAGCGATTTTCACATCAGATTGAGAAATAGTCTCAAAACTTACCAAATCTCACTGCAAAATCTCTATGTGCACTTTAAAATACAGGCAGTAAATTCATTGCACAATTTCCTTTCCTCATAAAGGACTGGGGTTAATTGTAGCCTCTCCTTATTCTGAGAACATTAAAATCCAGCACAACTGTGCAAAGGCTGCATCCAGTTCCAGCCCTGACAGGGAGGGAACTTCACATGAGTCCCTCAGTGGCTGCTGAAAACAACATCACCTCTGCTCCTTTACTTCCTGTTACTCTCCTTCCCCAGAAATACTTCCTGGTGAAAAAACTCAGTGAAATCACACTCTGAGCCTCAGGAGAAACCCAAATTAGAGTGTTTAATGTGGTTACCTAGGGAGTAGAACATCCTTACAGACATTCTTTCACACCTCAGGAACTCACAATGGTGTTTCCTCTGTCTTCCACTAAATGCAGCAGCTTTTAGACCCATAGCAAAAGGAAACACATAAATTGTGAAGGGACAAGTCTCTCAGACATGAAGCTCTCATTGAAGATCTCATGAAAGATATTTTGGAGTTTATGTTTTTGAGGGCAATCTGTAATTTTTGAGCTCTGCTACAGACACTGGCAGTTTGTAAGGACCCAGCAGGATGTGTATCAAACGTGGGGTGGAAGAGATGCAGCTGAGATCAGAGTATTATTAAAACTTAAACTGATGGATTTTCCAGGCTTTTTGCTTGTGTCATCATTTGGAGCAAGTCTGGCACTGTGGGGATGAGCAACCTGATAAACACCATTACTTGTGTTTAAAGAACACAGCTCTGCTACAACTGGAAAACCTGAAGTATTTAAAACCTTCTGAGACTCTTATCAGCACACCTACCACAGAGACAGCAACATCAGGCTCACTGAAGAGATAATAACAAGGCTTCAGTGACATCTGTGAAGCTTTCAGGCTACTGAAAGGCTGCTCCTCACAGGTTATTTTTCCCCTTTTTGAGTAAAATCTGGTACCTCATGGGGATCGACTGGCATTGCCTTCATCACCATTTCTAGTAGGGATGCCCAGCTGGGAGCAGCTCAGTTTTTAAAATAGTGCACTATAAGATGCAAATTTGTGGTTAAACACCCCAAAAGCTCTGAAAATTCACTGAGTTTGCTGCTTTCTTTGGTGCTGGGCAAAGCTGAGGCTAGAACAGAACAGGAAATTTTATCCTTTAAAAGCTTTATGATACTACAAAAAGCCATTCTCACAGTACATTAAGATGAGCCCAAAGTTTTTCCACAGTTTTGAAATAGACAATATTGTAATATTTGGGAGGTTTGGGCTAATGTTTTGAAGTCTAAATACACCCAAAATCCTCAAAGAAGTAGTCAGAGAGTTGCCACAGTTTAGTCAGTCAAGTGGAAGTTGCACATTAGATGTCAAAAAATGCTACAGGGAAGATTTCCCTCCCAAATTCAGCTTTTGTGGGTGCCCACATGGCAGAGAGCATGCAGTGGAGAGCCCAGACTGCCAGCAAAGATTGGAGCTGCTCAGGTGAGCAGAGGGAGATGCCTGTTGTAGACTGAATTGATGAAAAGCTTAAAAAGCAAAAAGGTTGTATTGACTGGTTGGATTACTGACACAGAGCCATTTGAGTAGCCCCATTGAATCCCACTTGGTTTTCCCAATTCCCAACCAGATGTGAATGTTCTCCAGATCCTGGAACAGCTGGTAATGCTAACGTGGATGCCTCAGATCGCTGCAGCCTCCCCAGCAGCACCAGATAATCTGAGTTTAGGGAAATGAATCAACATCCCAAGCTGGGTGTCTCAACCTTGGACTGACTCCCTCAGAAATGCCCGTTCCCACTGTGACAGCAGTGTGATACAGCAGGAAAATCTGTTCTGGAATCATTCCAGGTTTCCCAGTAGATTGTTATCAAGGCATAGAAGTGCATGAGGTGAATAATCCTTTGACAGGCTCGATTATGTTTGAACTCATCAAAGCTACAAGAGATGAGAAGTTGGCTCATGGCTTTGGACAGGCAGCTTCAGACTGCTGAAGGGAAGGGGATATTTGGAAATTTCTCTCAGTAGAAAGAGCTGAAAGAATGCCCGAACAGCCAAAAGGGCGAAAACCTGCTGTGAACAGCCAACAGCTCCAAGTCTGAGTGCCACAGAATGGAAGTGGGGTGACAGAAAGTCCTGACTGGCTGTAAGATCACATGGCCTGAGTTCCAGTTCCTGACCCTCACTGCGACACCAGTGGAAAAAAAAAAAAAAAGGAAAAAAGACATTAAAAAAGCCACTGTTTACAGGAAGATTCTCCTTCTGCTTTAACAGTGCAGGCCTGATGAATGTGACGAGTCACAGAATAACCTGAGTTGGAAGGGACCCACAAGGATCATCCAGTCCAACTCCTGCATGGACATCCCAAAAATCCCACCCTGAACATCCCTGGGAGTGGTGTTCAAACACTCCTGGAGCTCTGGCAGCCTTGGGAATGTGCCCATTCCCTGGGGAGCCTGGGCAGTGCCAGCACCCTCTGGGGGAAGAACCTTGCCCTGACACAGCCTGAGGTAAATGTAGCTCAACAGGCATCCGTATTTTGGAGGAAGATTTAAACTCCACTTTTTTTAAGAGGGAAATGGAATGGTGACAATTTCTGGAAGGAAAGTTGGAAAGAGAACTGAGAGCTCTGCTGCCAAGGTACAAAAGTGGTATGTGTGCTTAACGTGAGAAAACTGAGTTGCTTCTTGCTAACATCACCTCAGAATGAATGAGGAAGAGGGAAGTTACTAATGTAAAAGAAGACAAAAGAAATAGAATTTTAAAAATAAAATAAAATAAATTGCTTTGAAGACATACCTATTCTTTCTCATAGCCTGCAATGAAATTAAGAAGCAGCACAAAGTTTATACCAATACAGCAGGAATAATGAAATATGGAATTAATTTTCACAGAGACTGAAATTTTAGCAGGACAAGGACAACACACTTTAATGCAGGTAAACGAGACAGTGACAATGTAAGCAGGGGAAAGATTTAACTCTCACACCTTGGGGTGGAAGTAAACACTGAGAGAAATTAGTGAAGCATTTCTTGCTTGAGTAGCCTATATTAATTCTGATTTAATCTGTTTTCAATCCTCTTTTCTGAATGCAACTGATCACCCAGAGATAGAGACCCAAACTCACTCAACTCAGCATGGCACTATAAAAATGGGTCCCCTGCAGCATATCCTAAACAAGAGTCCAGCTCAGAAGTAATTAGCTATACACAAAAATAATAAATTTAATTAATGAGAAACTTCAAAGAAGACTTGAGATGAAGAACACAAATTTTATAATCTAACAAAACTTCTTTCCCTCTGCCCTAACCTCACAAGTAATAATCTGAAATTGATAAAGTTTTGAGGACAAAGGCTGGGAAATTCAGGAGCACATTAAGAGCTTTTTACAAGAGACTGATGGGACTGTGACCCCCTGTAAAAACATCTCAGGCCCTTGTAATCAGGCACCCAAAGAAATTCCACCTCCCCAGGGGGAATTACTTACCTCACCATTCAAGAAGCAGTAAAATACTGACACAAAGAAACCCTGGAAAGAAGAGAAAACAATTATTAGGTAAATATTTTAACACTTCCACTGACAGAGGGGATTGTCCCTGCAGCTGGGCTAAAACATCTCTGCAGTATCCAATTTTTGAGACCCCTCAGAGGAGCTGTCCCAAGGCTGGCAGCTCTGGGGGAAGATCCCAGGCACCCACAGGAGGTGTTAAATGGCTTCAGCTGGTCTCATGAGGCCAAGTGCATCATCAGATTGCTTAAATTCACCTGAGCTCAAAGGCTCTGTGGGTTCTGCTGACAGCAGTGACTAAAGCCCTGTAATGACTGAAGAGGTTGGAATTCTTCTGGGTGGAACTCTGCCTATTTTGTTTTTAGGGCTGTAGTTATTATCACCATTAAAGAGAGACTCCCTGGGCTTTCTTTCTTATACACAGCTTCAGAGAATTAATGAGCAATGCAGCATTTTCTTTAGACACAGCAGTAACAGCAGATAAAAAATACAACCAATTTTAGGGAATGAAAAGCGTGGAATTACTTCACAGGTAAAGGCTAAGGTTCCTTTTCCACAGGTTAAAAGGGACATTTTTTATTTTGGATATTCATCTGTAATTTCTGGTGGGGAGCACTCAGCAAAAACAGTAATGCAGCTGTAGATTTGGCCAGCTGTATGTTTGTATTGATATCCTGGGTATCAGAGCACTTGTTCCTGCACACAGGAGGTAAAAACATCAATGTCAAACACATTCCCACCTTAGTTCAAGAGGTAAAGCTGCAGGACACACCTGGGCTAAAGATCCTTCAGGATCTTCAGTTGCTTTTGGGTTTGTGTCAGATTCAGGGAGTTGGGGCAATTTCTCACTTTCCACTGCCTTTCCCATCCTGCCAGAGCTCCAGGTAAATTCAGGGGAGGGAGGAGATGGGGCTGATGGCACCACAGCAGGCTGGGAAACACAGCTCAAGTGTGTCTGAAACTGTCCCTTTCCTCCCAGTTAAATTCCAGAGTTCTACCAAAAGTTTTTTCAGCGATCCATCCCTTGAAAGATGAATGATCTTTGAAGGCAAAATATTAGGAATTTTTCTGAAAGCAGCTGGTTAATGTTTTGTTGTTTTCCTATGGGATTGTTTGCTTTAAATTTCTTCTTAACCAATTAGTTCTAAATTTATACTTACCATGTCTTTTTTTTCTGAATCAGAGAAAAGAATTAAAATAAATTCCTAACAGCCCTTAAAAAATCACTGCATTACATAACTTCTAATATTAATTAAAAATTGGCCTGTTGGCTGCACAGAACATCACATAAACTTCTCTGGAGACTGTTACAACCTGAATAGAACAGCCAGCCCAACAGGTAGGAGCTGTTTCCCTTTGGTTTAGCAGCATTGAGTCCAAGTCTCAGCCCACTGTGTGCTCTGGGAAGAGAGAGACACCTCGGGATGGGGATTGAAACATCTTCTATCACTCCATTGATTTTATGTGAGGAGCTGAACACAGTGCTGAGTTAGGGAAAATGAATCCCTCCAGTCCACACCTGAGAGGATTTTCCACTCCACATGACACACTTGTACATCTATTATGTGTGTGTGAACTCAGCTGAGCTATTTGCAGCTAATATTTCTATCACAGACTTCACTGCCTGAAGTTTCATGGCTGAAAAGCACCGAGGATCCTTTCAGCTGATACAGCTTGTAAGCTTGTTCTCTTACCTGAAAAGACTGAAGGAAGGAATTGAAATAGATGAAAACAATCTGGGAAATGTCATCCTCGCCAGGGTTGACAAAGAAAAGCATGTAGGTGATGCCAAGCAGAGGCAGCAGAACCAAGGTGGCCTTGACTGCCTTCCTGTGGGCAGGGAACAGAAAACAAGTGAACACAGGGAACAACAACCGTGTTGGAAGTGGAAAGGAGCATGGAAAGAGTGCCAGCCTCCCCATCTGTGCCTGTCCACCTGGGGAAAGTGTCCTGGGACAGCCTCTGAATCCTGCTGTTCCCCCCACACTCTGAACTCCATGAGGTGAATGGGAATCTTATTTATATCCCTCTTTCACTCTCTTCCTTCTTTTCTCTCCCATCACTCGAACCCTTGGGATGTGCAGGTTTGGTGAGTGATTTCTTACACCTCAGAGAGATGTGATCAGTGTCCAGCTCAGTTGAGACCCGCTCTGCACCCATAATTTGATTTTATCTGCAGTGTAAACACTTTCTGCAACACCTGTCCACCCAACTCAACTGCTCAGAGTTATCTTAGGAATCACAAATCACAAAGCAGGTGGTGAATGAGGAAGCATCAGTGATTAACAGAATTATTTGGGGCTAATCCTTATTGTTGGTGCTGTAACAGCGTTTTGGGATTTCAGCTGAGAGCTGCATGTCATTGTACTAGGCACTGTGCAAGCACAGAGGCTGAAATTTGGCTAAGTCTGTATAAATCTCTGAATAATGCCATAACAAGTAGATAAAGACAGGCAGGGGAGCACAAAACCACTGCCAGTGTCATGATAAAGTGACAGCCTTAATGCACACAATTTAATACCTGCTTAGCAAAGGGTTGCACTGCTCTGCTTTAGAGCTTGCCCCAGGCTTTGCTGGAATTGTAAGGGTTTCCATTTAGGTTCTGAAAAGACAATTCTCTCACAGAGCCTGCAAGGATAAGATCATTGTCATCTGTTCAAGAACAATGGCAGTTGCTGTAGATTGATTCACTCTGATGTCTCTAATGCCCCCCTGCAAGCTGCAGAAGGGATGACAATGTGCTGAGGTTTGAATCAGGGCTTTTTCAGGCCAGTTTTAGTTTTATGGCATGAGGTTTGAGCAATAAAAAGGGGTATTTTCCCATTGATTTCTCAGGAAATGTGCAGAGAAGGATCTGAATGTCAGATCACTGCACTAACTTCACTAGCAAAATCCTGACAGGAGTAAAAGGAAGGAATCAGGCAAAACAAGAAAGACTATTACTGCAGCAAAACTGTCTCCAAAGTCAAGAGCAGCCTGATTTGAGGACATCAAGATGCAACTCAGCTTGATATGCTGAGATTTTATCCAGAAATAAGTTGAAGTGACTGCTCTCACTCCACTAAACCCATGCCATTTCCTACTGCAAGGACCTGTTAATCCATAACTCCTCCAAATATCTTTCAAGACACTGCAAATGACAAGGGCACTCAGCATCTCCTGGTGTCTGAGAATTCACTTTTAGACTGTTGATGCTGATCTAAGTGGTGGCTGAAGGGGCCAGGCCACCTTCCCTCCTGACTTTTCCTTTCTGCCATCCCAGTACGTGTGGGGTTATGCTGGGTATGGGAACTGATTTACCTGAGAAGCCAAACCCCAATAAAGGTAGTGATTAGCTGAGGATCAGTTCTGTGATGTGATCCAGTGAGTGGCCACACTAATTATGGCACCAGCTGAAAGGAAGGAGCACAATCACCCCTCATTCCCCTGCCCCACATTTGAAATGGAGCATTAAATACCTGTATGCACACATTAATCACAGAATCCCAGAATGGATTCCAGCCCCCTGCCATGGCAGGGACATCTTCCACTATCCCAGGCTGCTCCAAACCCTGTCCAACCTTGCCTTGGACACTTCCAGGAATGCAGGGGCAGCCACAGCTTCTCTGGGCACCTGTGCCAGGGCCTGTCAATCCTCACAAGGAAGAATTTCTTCCTAATATCCATCCAAACCAACTCTCTGTCAGTTTGAAGCCATTTCCCCTTGTCACTCCAGACCCTTGTAAATGGTCTCTCTCCATCTCTTTGCAGGCTCCCTTCAGGTCAAAATTAGGTCACCCCAAAGCCTTTTCCAGGCTGAACAATCCCAGCTCTCCCATCCTCTCCCCCCAGCAGAGCTGCTCCATCCCTCTGATCATCCTGGTGCCTCCTCTGGCCTGGCTCCAGCAGCTCCAGGTGCTCCCTGTGCTGGGGACCCCAGAGCTGGATGCAGCACTTACTAAATATACACTTGAGTACATATAGAAATTGATAAATTTGTCTTCACACGAGATCAAATCCTTCAGATTCCATGGAAAAGAGGGGGCTCCATGTGTGTGCTGGGGGCTGAAGGGAAATGGAGTAGACAGAAAAAATGCAAACAGGTTTTTCTGGAGAGCCTGCATAGATAAATACTGTGGGCCTAATTTATGATCTCCATCAACAGTGGCACCTGGAAAAATAAAGATGTGCCAAGGACAGGACAATCAAGGCAGAGCTAAGTTAGCATCAGAACAGCAGGAATCAAAGCTGACTTACCTGTATTGGATTGTTTCTGAAGTGGTTGAAGCTCTCAGCTTTGTCATTAAAATCCTAACTATGTTAAATAGAAATACAAAATTTATCTGGAAAAGAAGAAAGGAAAAAAATGCAACCAGTCATTAAAATAATGGCTGACAGGATGTGATACACCCTAAAAGGCACATTTTAGTTTCAGTCTGACTGAAAACAGCCTTTTGGCTTTGCCATTGATTGCAACAGACTCAGAAGTTTACTAGAGATACCAGATTATACAGCAAACATCCAACAGCTTTTACTGTTTCCAAAACAGCAGTGAAAATGGAGTACATCATTACTGCCCTAACAAGGAGCTTATTTTTACTCCCTTTTCTCCTTTTCTGGGTGCAATCAGGAACTAAAGGTGAGATTGATGGATTTGCCACTCCCTTTTCAATCTGCTGAACTGGGTAATTATTATTTGTGCTGCAGCCTCACCACTGAGAATTGATATTTGCTCTCATTATTGTTGTAGCATCTGCTATTGCTTTTCTTGCATAGTGCAAAAATTAAGGAGATTTTAAAAAGCCCACCAAACTGAAGAGAAGATTGATTTGTAGACTGATCAGTGGAAAGATTTGACTTTTAGGAGCAAAACTCTTTGGAGCTGCTTTCAGAGCACAAAGTAGGGCAGCTTACAAGACATGGGTCTGTCCCAAAGCTGTCAGAACTACACAACTGATGGGGTCCCAGCACAGAAAATATTTACCTCACACACAATTCCAGGGCATTTTTCAGCCCATGAACAGAACAATTCTGTGACTGACATCTGAATATTTACAAACACTACAGCAGAGCTGACAAATGTGCTCCTTTTCCCCTCCATGCTATGGGGTGTATTTCAATGTTTACATCTCATGGCATCCATCAGAGCATTCCCTGTTGCATGGCTCAGAGCAAATGGAGCAACAAAACACCTGAGCAGGCACTGGGAGACTGGCAGCACTGGGAATTGTGCAAACACGCTACCTGAGATGCAAAAACACCGTTCCACCAGCTAAAACATTTGTGGAAATAATTTCCTTAGCCCTGGGGAGTACAAGAAATAAATAAAACAGTGCAGCCTGTGTGTTTGTTCTACTCAGAATTGTTTTTGTCATATTAAGAGCTTGAAGTCGACGGGTTCACACTTTATTTATCAGAGACAAAACCAGCTCCGTGTCTTGGTTTGAGCTGAATCTTAAACTCCCCACACTGGTGACTGCACTGCTCTTCAGTAACACAAAGAGAAATGAATGGAGTGGCCTTCACCCACAGAAAGAAAACTTTCCCCTTTGAAATTCTGCTGCTAAATCTTGAGGTTCTCCATCAGCTCAGGGCCATGTTTGGGTTATTTCTACCGAGGATGCAAAAGAGGCACCAATCCAAAACGTGCCAGTTTTGCAATTGCAATGAAGTGCCAGACTGAATTATAGACACTTAGGTAAGAGCTAATTCCAAATATCAGTCAGACTCATTACATGGCATTATCATAATGAACTGGGCTGAAGAAGGCATTTCAAGTTTCATGAGTCCTTCCTCAACGTGACAGCATCCTGCCATCTGAACTGGAAATTCAAATTGCCACAGCCTGCATCAGAAAATTAGGGATTCTGGCCTTTTCTGAAATTCAGTTGCATAGTCGTGATTCATCAGTCCAGAAGAATTGCTAGCTGAAAATTCTGGGAGTTATTTAGTCAGAAACACTCTCATTCTATAAAAGCCTGTTTTTAATTCTCCCAGTTATTTATTTTTGTATTTATTATTATTTATATTTATTTATTTTGTATTTATTATTGTTATTTATTATTGTATTTATTCTCCCAGTTATTAATTCTGCCCAAGCCCAGAGCACAGGAGCACCTGAGGAACCCCTGCATCCCCAAAATCTGAGAGTGGCACTGGCACCTGTGGCACAAATGCCACATGTAACGCCAGGTGAGAAACCTCAGCTCTCTGCAAGAGCACCAGGAAGGCAGTGCTGACTTTTAACAAACTGCCCAGGTGTCTGAGAAAAGCCTGCCAGGACATAATTTCTAATTACATTTTCTAGGAGAAGCTAACAGCAGCATTGGCCACTCAAACTGAATCCTCCTCCCGAGTAATCTCAGTCTGAACTTCAGAGTGAATTTCACTCTGCTTCTTCCATTATTCTTGTAGTGTTCTTTTACCAGTTCTGGTAACCAGAGAATCAGAGAATCAGTTCTGCAAACCACAAAATTGTGTTATTTTTTTTTTTTAAAGGCTGGTGAATGGGACAGGTGGAAGGAGAGTATCTGGAGCTGGAGGGAAGGTACTGGAAAAATGGGACTCATGTATATGCCCAAGAGGTGATGGCTTGTATGCAGAGGACCATCAAGTCAGGAGAATCCTCTGGCCTTTTCAGTGCATAAGAGGAGGTTAGAAAAATAATTCATAGCTCCTTCTGGCTTTAGAATCTTCTTTAGAATGTGTGAAGCTCCTTCAATGCTTGGTTTTCCACTTTTCCATCAGTTTCTCTGCCCAGCTGTTGCTGCAGCAGGACAGGACATGAGTGCAGCCGTGTTCCACACACAGCTCCTGCTGCTGGCTTCATCCCAGTTTCTCCAGGAAAAGGAATAACTGATTCTCCCCCATTCTAGATTTAGTACCTAAGAAAGAAAAGCCAAGTGACTTGGCCTTGGCTATGAATCAATTCCATCCCAGAGTGAGGATAAGAAGAGCAAGAGCATAAGGAACTGAGTTGGGTTGGCATAATTTCTTGTTAGATTAAGCAGTTGGTTATCCCAAGATCTATTTATATTCACTGGAAAGAAATGGAAACTTTTCAACAGCAGTTCATCTGACATATTTTAAATGAGTGTTTTTGGGCTAATAGGGCTTGGACTTGAACCAGCTGTCCACACAAATCTTCCACCTGATCTTCAGATTCCCCAGGATATCCCATGTGAGCCTCAGTGAAGTGAATGGGGCTGTGTCGACAGAGGTTCTGTGACAGTACAGTCAGTGGAAGCTTAAAAATGTTTTGAGGCACCAACATTTTGTCTCTATTAAGGTTTCTCTGAGAGATCTTTAAGGCTTGGATTAGGGTCACCCCTACAATGCGAGGAAAAAAATCCAAGGGAGAAGATGAAAACGGGAAAAACGTGAAAAATACTTATTTCTGGTTTTGCCTTCTAGAAGCACATTTCAGCATATTCAATTTCAATGATTTCTTTAAAAAAAGAACAACAAATTTCAGAAAAAGACACTTGGCTCAGTAGGGCCTTTTAGCAGCACTCAGAGGGGTCTGATCAGGTTTCAGTGCATAATCAGATGGGGTTTTAATTGTCTGTCTGTCCCTGCTGGGCCTGAGAGCACAGCTCTGGGGATGATGGGGGAGTTTGCTCAGGAGAGAGAGGACACAGTCTGGGAATCAAGCAGGGGACAGGCTGCTGCACACAGCCTGCAGGAGCTGAAGGCTTGGAGATGAAAATGGAGCTGTTTTCTCAGCTGGAGAGAAACCATGCAGTTCTAGTGGCTACCAGCCTGAGCCTGATTTACAGGTAGAGAAGAGGAAGCCTCTGGTGTTTGTTCCTCAGAGAGATCGCAGTGTTTCAGAGGAAGAAGGTTCTCACTCCACTGCAAAGTGAGTTTTCCTAGAAAAGAGCCTAAGTGCTGTATTGAGCAAAGTACACAATTATTTGTCAAGGACTTTTTTGTTATTATCGGAGCTCTGTGTCAACAGATTAATTCCTCTGAGCTGGGCAGCTCTAACAAAACCCACACATCAGTTCCATAAATGGAGACTCAGGAAAGGTAATTTAAGAGAGGTAATGATAAAAGGCAGTGCATCCTTTTTATTTCTCTTTAGGCTCATTTTCTGTTTTCATTCATTTCTGTTTATCCATGTTTTCTGCTTCCTAATGGAAAACATAACTAAGGATTTTTACCTTGACATTTACTGGTAGATGAAATGAATCCAAAGGCAAAGTCTTGAAGACAGAATAAAGTGGCTTATTTCTTCTTCTCCTTTATTTATGCCATGCTAAGAATATCACTATTGCTGGAATAAGACCCTCTCCAACTACAGATGGGAAAGAAAAAGTTTTGATTTCTTGACAGAAGTTTAGTCTTTCCATTTCTAAATTGGGATGAAAATTCAGACCCCCAAAATGGAGTTACAAGCCAGTGATCCAGAAAGTATTTGAGCCATCTGTTTTGGCACTGTTCTATTATAACCTGAACACAGGAGCCCAGAAAATCTTATAAACTAAAAGAAACTTCTCAGTAAATTATTTTGGTGGTAAAAGTTTTCTGTCATAAAACCAAACTCTGCCTGGGAGGAAATTTATCTCCTTTATCAAGATGAAATAGCCAAAGTGCACAAAAGAGTCAATGCTGACTCTGAGGGCTTCTTTGCAGTTTTCCCCAAGCCCAGGAGTTCCAAAGGGAGGTCATTAAGCTCTGCTCTTTCTTTTGAGCATTTAATGGACAACTGGCTTTTATTTTGCTCATTTTCTGCTGGGCTTTGTATGTGATGCTTCACAGAAAGCTTGTGCTCCTGTGCTTCCTAGAATGTTTGTTCCTCTTCACTCCCAGGAACTGTAAAAGTTATTCCATTTATGCAGTGCTGTAAAATCACCTCAGGGTTAAGTAACTCAAATTGAAATCAGAGCAGTCCTTTGAGTGGCAGCTCTGGATGCTGCCATCCTGACCTCAGATGAGCACTCTGCCAGTTCATTAATGCTTTAATTGTTCTACCATGTTGGCCTGACCTGATCCTCAGACAGGGCTTTTGATCACAAAAGTTTCCTTTTCAAAGGTCACAGGCACCACAATGAGTCCTTTGGGCAAAGGGCTGGAAAACACTTTTATGTACAATCAGGAATAACGAGACATGATTATGAAGAATGAACATTTCACAAACAGAAGTAGAAATTTCAGAAAATTTGTAGAGTGTGTGTGGTATTGGACACCTTGCTGGGCACTTATTGACCCCACAACTACAAAATATAAACAGCAGAAAGTCAGTAATAGCAATGGTAATAAAATTTGAAATAAATTCTAGATGGACAGTACTCAAACCAGTACATTATCTCTGTGCCCTGTGCAGACAGCACAACCTGCA